GCCATGACAGAAGGTGACAAATTCTGGACTAACCATTGCCTAAGCTGGCCTTTTATCTACATCAGCCTGGCCTAAAAATGGCAGAAGCGGAAGCAAGAACATCAAAAGATGCACTGCAACAGGAAATTCAATGATTCTATAAACATGGACCTACTCAATCAGCCTGACAATGCTCAATGAACAGAAACTGCAGAACATCCACAGTGTTTGGCCTGCCCTTATTACCATCACAGACATCACAAAACAGGAGACTCTGGGGTTCTCTGCCAGGAAACGTCAAGACTGGTTTGATGAGAACGATCAGCAAATCCAAAGCTACAAAGTCACAAGCATAAGGCATTCATGAATTGAAAATACGATCAATACTTAAGGAACAAAAGCAAGTCTACAGACAAATGAATGTTGGAAGCCCAATAATAAATCTGGGACTTGAACAACAGAAGGTGGATGGAAAGAATGCAAGAAGTACAGCAACGCATGGACAGCCATGATGTGCAGGGATTCTTTAGCACAACCAAGACTGTTTATGGCACAAACATACAAAGGACCTTCCCCACCAGGAACTAAGAATGAAGTAGTGGTCATCAAGAACAAAGAGGCAGTTTGCGCTTGTAGGAAGGAGCATTCTAAGGATCTCCTTAACTGAGGCTCATATCTTTGACATTAGTGCTCTGAACCGCAGCATTCCCAACCAATCACCATCTCAGCACACCTCAAGCCAAACAGGTTGAAAGGTCACTGGACAGCTAAGAACTAACAAGTCCACCAGAACAGATGGAATCCCTGCTGAACTACTGAAATATGGAGAGAAGCACCTTCATATGGAAGGAGGAGAGTACGTTAGGCTGATAGCAATAACTATAGAGGGGTATTCCTGCTGTCTGCGAAAGAGAAGTTTATTGTGAAAATCCTCCTCCCAACAACTGAAGTGTTCCTCAAAGATCCACAATCTGGATTCCGCCCATCAAGAGGTGCAGAGGACATGATCTTCACAGCAAGCCAAGCCCATGTGCAGAGAGAATCAGCAAACTCCATATATAGCCAATTCTGATTTCATTTTTTGTGCCTTTGACTGTGTCATTTTGGAGGGACTATGGAATATCCTTCTCAATTTTGGTTGGCTGCACAAATCCACCACCATCCTCTTTCTGCCGCATGATAGCATAGCAAGTCGTGTTCATCATCAACAGATCCACACAAATGTGTGCACAAACTAGCTCAAACAAGGCTGTATCATTCCTGTCCTCCATCCTCTTCACTCCAACACTTCAACCTCACATTTTATAATGTTTTCCAGTGATGTCGAGCTAATCTACAGGATAAGTCAGAAATTATTCACTGATGTTCCCTCTAAGTGGCATGTTTGCACGCACACAGATGTTCCATGCACAGCAATCAGCATGTTGACATCATTCTCAGCACTGCATCCAGTTCCAGAAGTCACTGTCATGAAGAGACATGAGAAGTCCAAGCAGAAGAAAAAACATTAGCAGGAACATGGCTGCTCAATGTGTCACCTCCAGTCCAGAACCAAGGCCACCTCAGTCTCTATCCTGAGTGGCTGAATTCAGATGACACTAGCAGGTACACACACTCAAAAAGGTGCACACTGCAAGCATTTATCAATACATTCGTGGAGGCACATGAGATAATGGGTCTTAAGCTTTATATGTCTGTCACAGCTGCAAGTTTTTTGGTATTTTAAGTAAATTTTGAAATTATACACCCCATATGCAAATATCCAAGTCATTTATGTGTAAACCTAAGACTGAAACTTGGGAGACACTACTTTATCAACCTCCAGCCTCAAAACTAATGGTTTATCATGACTTGCTGTTGTTTGTCCTCAAGTTAATTTTTTCTTTTTAAAAACCAAAACCAAGCCTCAGTTTTGTTAGCCAGCCTTGTTTCTAACGTTTGGTTAAAAGCTTTCTTGTAAGTTATGCAAGCAGCATCCATCATCTTCTCTGATACTTCAAACAACATTAAAATGAATTATACAATCTTCCTTTCACAATCCGTGCTGGTTCTTTTGAACTAATTAAAATATTTTGAATTGCCTGATTTTTTTTCTTGATTGCTTTGTCTAAAACCTTACCCGCCACTAACTGTAAAATGACCAGCCCACAGTCACTAGCAATGTCCTCACACCCTTTCTTGAATTAAGGTCTGATCTGCGCATCCTTTGCTTGCTGTGATCTGCCTGTACCGCTTGTAAACAAAGCTTTTCACTGTATTTTGTACACATGACAATACAATCAATCAGGTGTCACATTTGTCATTGTCCAATCCTCTAGCACATCTATTATACATGTATCTAGGGAAGACTAAAATATTATGAAAAGCCATTCTTTTATCTCCACACCCACTTCCTTTAGAAAGCCAGGATGCAAGCCACTTGGACCAGGTGAATTATCCACTCTAATCATAGCTTGTACTTCTATTATATCCTGACCAATTTTTACTATATCCGTTTCCTCAAACATCTGCTTGTCTCCCGTTATTTAAATTGGCATCTTCTTCCTCAGTAAGTACGAATATAAAGTACTCAAGTTCTCTAGGTCGATCACCCTCTTTGGCTCCAATAGGGTCACAAAGCTTCTAAGATTCACTTCCTGTTTCAATACCGGTAAAAGATTTTTTGGTTCCTTGTGTGATAACAGCCATTATATTCTCATATTCTTACTTTGACAGTCTTAGTTTCCCCCACACTTTCCTTCTTAAACCTACTCAAGTGTGTAGTTACCCTGTGGAACTGCAGGATGCAATCTCGCATGTTATTTCAGTCACATTTTTGGTCCAACTTGAACAGAAGCCACCCACAGATCTAACAAGTCTGGAAAATAAGCAAGTTATTCCTTCACAGCTGTCCCAGATGGAGGATGACCGAAGAAGATGTTACGAACACAGCAGAGAAAGATAACTTGCTTAAAAATCTGATCTTCCATAGGAAGTGGTAGGGAAATTATTGGAGATGATCATTCAGGAAAGGATTTACTCACATTGGAAAATTATGGACTTATTAGCAATAGACAACTTGGATTTGAGGGGAGAAGATCATATCTCATAAACGTGGTTGAGATTTTTGAGGAAGTGACAAACATTATTGATGAGGGCAAATCAGACTTTGTCTAAATGGCTTTTGACCAGGGGCGTTTTTCTGACTGGAGATCTGTGCTGGGACACCTGCTATTTGTAATGTATAAAAATGATTTAGAGGAGAAAGTAGGTGGCCTGATTAGTAAGTTTGCAGACGACACAAAGATTGGGGTAGCTGCGGATAGTGAGGAAGATCGCCAGAGGATACAGCATGATATAGATAGCTGGACACTTGGATGTAGAAATGGTAGAATGTGTTTAATCTGGACAAATGGAAGGTAATGCATTTTGGAAGATCTAATGCAGGAGGGAAGTATACAGTAAATTGCAGAACACTTAGTATCATCTCTATATCGAGGGATCTAGGCACACAAGTCCACAGTACCCAGAAAGTAGCAACACAAGTGGATAAGATAGTCAAGAAGGCAAAAAGCAATCTTGCCTTCATCGGTCAGGCATACAGTATAAAAATTGGCAAGTCATGTTGCAGCTATATAGAACTTTAGTTCTGCCACATTTGGAATATTATGTACAGTCCTTGTTGTCACGTTACCAGAAGGATGTGGAGATTTTGGAGAGGGTACAAACAGTTTTCCTGGTTCCCTAATTTGAAGGGTATTAGCTACGAGGAAAGATTGGACAAAATTGGTTGGTTTTCATTTGAACATCGAAGGATGGGATGGTGATATGATAGAAGTTTACAAAATTCTGACAGGCATGGATAGTCAGTCTTTTTCCCAGGTTGGAAACATCAATTACTAGGGGCATAGGTTTAAGTTAAAAAGGGGGTCAGTTTAAAAGGAGATATGAGAAGCCAGTCTTTTTTTAAACACAGAGGGTGGTAAGTGGCTGGCATGTGCTACCAGAGGAGCGGTGGAGGCAGATATAATAACAACATCTAAGAGGCATCTTGACAGATGGAATAAATAGGCAGAGAATTGAGGTATACAGACTGCACAGAGGCAAATGGTTTTTAGTTTAGAAAGGTATGACAGGGCGGTGCAGTCTTGGTAGGCTGAAGGGCCCCTTACTAAAACCTTAGGTTGAGACTTTCAAAATTAAGAGCAACTTTCGAAAAGCTATTTGTCATTCCTCATCCCTTCATACGTTACACACAAACTTGAGGCAAAATTAGTGTTAAGTTTCAAACCAAAGCTAAACAGGTGAGCTAAGGGAATATGCAAGATTAAATTAGACAATTCCAGGAGTGCAAAATAGGTTGATGTTGAACTTGTTTTGCACTATATTTAATTTACATTTCTTGCTATTAGCTTTGCAAAAATAAAAACTAAGCAGTGTAAAACAAATAGTTAACTTGTTACCAGCCTGTTTTATGTTTCTCGCAATGACCAATTTCACCCCACTATTCATTCCAACAATGTAAATTGCTACAATTTGTAAAAGCAGCACCATACAAAAAATGATCTTACAGGTGCATACTTATGATTATGATTATTACAAATTACTTAGTATTGTTTAATGGAAATGGAAAATTAGCCTTTCTGAAGTCATGGCCATAAAGTTTGATACAGGACAAGAGACCTTTTAAGTCAATAAACCCACTCTGAGTGAAATACAGCCTTTACATTTTGCCATGCTAACAATTACATTCTGCGATTTATAACCTGCATTTTTACCATTAGCTTAAATTATAACTTAGAACTTTGCTAAAAATTACTGTAAAACTCATGCAATTGCTTGCCACAAGAAGCTCTGTAGACCAGGTACAACAGCCGTTTTGAAAAAAAACATGAATGTCTACGATAAAAGTAATCAAATTGACTGAAAAGCAGCATTTCATATTCTGCTGCACTGTTAGCACACTACTACAAACAACAGAATTTCTGCAAGAATATATTTTACAAATAGTCGTCAAATATTTTACACCATTGGCATCTAACCTTTGGAAAAATTTTTTCCCCTTTATCCGATAAGTCCTCAATTTCTGAACAGGAGTAGGACTCAGAAAATGATGTAAGGGGATTCACTCTTGGTCTGTGTGTATTAGAGAATGTGAGCTGGGATACGATCAGGCTGTTGATGGTTCGCAGAGAAGGGGTGATGCTCGAAGGGAGAGACGGGTCAGCAAGAAGATCTGTAACCAGGCTTTGCACCTCACCCATAACAGCAGGATCCAATCCATAACCACTACTGGAATTCTGCAAGAAAACACAAGGGTAAGGCTTTGAAAATTTCCACAGTATGTATTCAGTTGTATTTACTTTCTCGACTTGCACACTTTCAAACAAAACTGCTACATTGTTGCCATTCAAATCTTTTGAAAGAAGCTTTAAAAATTCGTTACAGCTAAAATTCAACATATAATTACTCCTGTGTATAGAAAGCTATTCAAATGCGCAACTCATATCGACAAAACAACTTTAACAAAATTCCCCTCTGAAGCATCCCAACTTTATAAATCATTTTGATAAATGTGCCATAAAAATTTTTGTTCCAATGAAACTTCCCAAGCATTGATCGAAATAAGATGCTGAGTCACATGATGAGTTATTAGGTCAAATGATAGGACAATTGGTCAAATAAGTAAATATTCACGAGTCCCTTAAAGAAGGAACAAGAGGTAGAGGGGTGAAGCATGATGAGAGAATTCCAGAGCTTTGAGCCTCGCCAACTGACAACACTGGTACAAACCAACTGTAATTGGGAATGCACAGAAGCCGGTACCGGAAATGTGCAGACACTTGAGGGTTGTGGGGCTGAAGAGGGTTATGGAAGTAAAACAGGGTGAGGCACTCGGCTGAGTGAGACATCAAGGAGTCCTCATAAAACTAGATTCAGTGTGTTTCGGGTGGTGGGGGGGGGATCTCTGCAGTTTGAAGTTATGCCTGGCACATAGGAAGATGGCTTATTTCAATTGTTATTAAAAAGTTAGTGTTTTATAAGACCATAACACAGAGGAGCAGAATTAGGCCATTCACTCCAGAGCGTTCTGCTCTGCCATTTCATCATGGCTGATATTTTTCTCAATCCCATCCTGCGTACAAGTTCAAAGAAAAAAAAGACTTGGCTCTTACATGCCATGTTTCATGTTCTCAGAAAATTCCAAAATCTTTCGCAGCTTATTAAATACTTTTCCCCATAACCCTTGATCCCTTTCCAGTTGAGAACGTATCTATGTCTGTCTTAAATACACTCAATGAGTTGGCCTCCAAGCGCTCTGCAGCAATGGGTTCCACAGATAAACCATCCTCTGGCTGAAGAAATTCCTCATCTCATTTCTAAAAGGGTCATTCCTCCACTCTGAGGCTGCGTCCTCAGGTCCCAGTCTCTCCTACTAGTGAAAACATTTTCTCCATAGCCACTCTATCCAGGCCTCTCAGTATCCTGTAAAGTTCAATCAGATTTCCCCTCATCCTTCCAAACTCACCGAGACCAGACAAAGAGATCTCAACTGCTCCTCATACGACCAGCCCTTTATCGCAGAATCATTCTTGTGAACCTCCTCTGGACCCTCTCCAAAGCCAGCACATTCTGCCTTTGATATGAAGCCCAAAATGGCTCACATATTCCAAATGCCATCTGACCAGAGCCTTAACACAGCCTCAGCAGTACTTTTCTGCTCTTGTATTCTCGTCCTATTGAAAATGATTGCTAACATTGCATTTGCCTTCCTAAGTGCCAACTGAACCTGCAGGATAACCTTAAGAGAATCCTGAATTAGGACACTGAAGTCGCTTTGTGCTTCAGATTTCCAAAGCCTTCTAAGCCTGTCTGGCAATTGTTGCACAGTGTCCATTCATTCATTGTTGTAGCGTCTGCATGGTTTTGCCAATGTACCATGCCTTGGGGCATCCATGCCTGCAGCATATGAGATAGACAACGTTGGCCGAGTCACATGAGCATTTGCCGTGCACATGGTGGGTGGTGCTCCACCTAACATGCATTGTCTGATCTAAACATGTCGCCTCTTCTTTACACCGATAAAACCTTTAGTTCTCTCAGGACAGTGACTTCAAAGGAATTTGGGAATTTTCATATACATATTAATCAATTAAAACCTTCTAACTGATTAAAGATATATCAAGTAGTCTGATACTACCTCTCTTACTAACACCTGAAGAAGGAGTAAGACTCTGAAAGCTTGTGTTTTCAAATAAACCTGTTGGACTATAACCTGGTGTCGTGTGATTTCTGACCTTGTCCACCCCAGTCCAACACTGGCACCTCCACATCATTGTCACAGCAAGGCAGAAGACTTTTAGGTTCTTCATTTGACAGCACCAATCTGATTAAATTAATTCTTTAAACATCCATACAAGTTCAAAGATAAAAAAGACTTGGCACTTATAGGCCATGCTTCATGTTCTCAGAAAATTCCAAAAATGTCTCACAGCTCATTAAATACTTTTTAAATAGAGTCACTGTTGTAAAATAATGAAACATAATGGCAAAATTTGTGAAGCAAGGTCCTGCAAACAGCAAGTAGGTAAATGACCAAATAATGGGCCATAGTGGCATCAGTTAAGGAATAAAGCCGTCCAGTGCAATGGAAGAACTCTCGTGCTCATCTTTGAATCTCTCAGATAAGCCAGCCAGATCCTTAATTTAACGCATCGTCTGAAAGGTGGCAGCTTTCACAGTGAATAAAGAATATACATAAAATGGATGTTAATTTTAATGCTCTTTCATTCAGTTCAATACTGAACAGGTTATCATGGTACCGTAATACTTAAAATTTTGCAAAATTACTCATTGTTGAAGATGCAGAGGACAAACAAAACATTGTTTTTGAATGCTGTTCTTGAGATTTTACACAGGTGTGATTTCTTGATTTGCAGAGGCTACTTTGTTTTCAGGAGCTCCTTTTTCACTCTCGTTCACTCTTTTATTAAGCGATGCAGTCTTTCAATAACATTTCCTTCTTTATTTGAATTGACCTGTGACATATTTAGACTCTCACTGAACTAGAATTAGAAGGATTCACCAATATCCTCAATAATCCTTTCTGCTGCATTGAAGTTAAAAGGCACAACAAACAAAGAAAGCATTCATTTTCTAGACAGCATTATGTAAAAGTGGCACAGGACAACAGGCATAAGATAGCAAGAAGGATCTTTTTAAGTGACACACACTTCTGTACACACAAAGCCACCACCCTAAACACATCTTCCATGCACAGATCTGTCACAGCTGAACAGTTATTCACTAGTCTCCAACTTTCTCCAACTGGTGGCCCACGATTGAAATTTCACGGAAATTTTGGGGACAATCAAAGGCAAATTTGCCTGACCTTCCCTGTGTGTTTTCAGCGCTATGTAGTCCACTGGAATAGTAAAAACTAATTCTATTATTTATACCTTCATATTCAATTGATATTGATCCTGTCTGTAGAAATGTTGGAAATTTTATACATTACTAAAATATATGACAAGACAATCATGTGAAATAGAAATAATCTTGCACTCTAAATAAATCAACCAAAAAAAGGTGTTTCAGAGATAGTAGGAACTGCAGATGTTAGAGAATCTGAGATATAACAAGGTGTACAGCTGGATGAACACAGCAGGCCAAGCAGCATCAGAGGAGCAGGAAGGCTGACGTTTTGGGCCTAGACCCTTCTTCAGAAATGGGGGAGGGGAAGGGGGTTCTGAAATAAATAGGGAGAGAGGGGGAGGCGGATAGAAGATGGCGAGAGGAGAAGATAGGTGGACAGGAGACAGACAGGTCAAAGAGGTGGGGATGGAGCCAGTAAAGGTGAGTGTAGGTGGGGAGGTAGGGAGGAAATAGGTCAGTCCAGGGAGGACGGACAGGTCAAGGGGGCGGGATGAGGTTAGTAGGTAGGAGATGGGGGTGGGGCTTGAGGTGGCAGGAGGGGATAGGTGGGAGGAAGGACAGGTTAGGGAGGCGGGGACAAGCTGGACTGGTTTTGGGATGCGGTAGGGGGAGGGGAGATTTTGAAACTTGTGAAATCCACATTGATACCATTGGGCTGCAGGGTTCCCAAGCGGAATATGAGTTGCTGTTCCTGCAACCTTCGGGTGGCATCGTTGTGGCACTGCAGGCGGCCCAGGATGGACATGTCGTCTGTGGAATGGGAGGGGGAGTTGAAATGGTTCGCGACTGGGAGGTGCAGTTGTTTAGTGCGAACCGAGCGTAGGTGTTCTGCAAAGCGGTCCCCAAGCCTCCGCTTGGTTTCCCCGATGTAGACGAGGCCACAACGGGAACAGCGGATGCAGTATACCACATTAGCAGATATGCAGGTGAACATCTGCTTGGGGCCTGGGATGGGGGTGAGGGGGGAGGTGTAGGGGGAGGTGTAGGGGCAGGTGTAGCACTTCCTGCAGTTGCAGGGAAAAGTGCCGGGTGAGGTGGGGCTGGAGGAGAGTGTGCAACGGACAAGGGAGTCACGGAGAGAGTGGTCCCTCCGGAAAGCAGATAAGGGTGGGGAGGGAAAAATGTCTTTGGTGGTGGGGTCGGATTGCAGATGGCGGAAGTGTTGAAAGATGATGTGTTGGATCTGGAGGTTGGTGAGGTGGTACGTGAGGACGAGGGGGATTCTGTTTTGGTTGTTATTGCGGGGAGGGGGTGTGAGGGATGAGTTACAGGAAATGCGGGAGACACGGTCGAGGGCGTTCTCTACCACTGAGGGGGGGGAGGGGATGTTGCGGTCCTTGAAAAACGAGGACATCTGAGATGTACGGCAGTGGAATGCCTCATCCTGGGAGCAGATGCGGCAGAGGCGAAGGAATTGGGAATAGGGGATGGCATTTTTGCAGGAAGGTGGGTGGGAGGAGGTGCATTCTCGGTAGCTGCGGGAGTCGGTGGGCTTGAAATGGATATCGGTTTCTAGGTCGTTGCCCCAGATGGAGACAGAGAGGTCCAGGAAGGTGAGAGAGGTGTTAGAGATGGTCCAGGTAATCTTAAGGTTGGGGTGGAAGGTGTTGGTGAAATGGATGAACTGTTCAAGCTCCTCGTGGGAGCACGAGGCGGCGCCGATACAGTCATCAATGTAACGGAGGAAGGGGTGGGGTTTAGGGCCAGTGTAGGTACAGAAGAGGGATTGTTCCACGTAACCTACAAAGAGGCAGGCATAGCTTGGGCCCATGCGGGTACGCATGGCCACCCCCTTTGTCTGTAGGGAGTGTCTGTAGGAGAAAAGGTGTTTCTGCCTTTCAAACTCATGCCCATTTGGCTTTTT